CATCATCATCATCATCATCATCATCATCATCATCATCATCATCATCATCATCATCATCATCATCATCATCATCATCATCATCATCATCATCATCATCAGCATCATCAGCATCAGCATCAGCATCAACGTCAGCATCAGCATCAGCAGCATCATCATCATCATTAACATCATCATCATCATCATCAGCAGCATCATCGTCGTCATCATCATCAACATCAGCATCATCATCATCAGCATCATAATCATCAACATCCGCATCATCATCATCATCAGCATCAGCAGCATCATCATCAGCATCATCATCATCAGCACCATCATCATCAGCATCATCATCAGCATCATCATCAGCAGCATCAGCATCACCATCACCATCACCATCACCACCACCACCACCACAACCACCACCACCATCATCATCATCATCATCATCATCATCAGCAGCATCATCATCATCCTCATCAGCATCAGCAGCATCATCAGCATCAGCAGTATCATCATCATCATCATCATCATCATAATCATCATCATCAGCATCAACAGCATCATCATCATAATCACCATCCTCATCAGCATCAGCAGCATCATCAGCATCGTCGCCATCATCAGCATTACCATCACCATCACCATCACCATCATCCTCATCATCACCATCATCATCATCATCATCAGCATCATCATCATCAGCATCATCATGATCATCATCATCATCATCATCATCATCATCAGCACCATCATCAGCATCAGCACCAGTATCATCATCGTCAGCATCATCATCATAATCAGTACCATCATCAGCATCATCATCAGAATCGTCATCATCATAAGCATCAGTATGATCAGCAGCAGCGACAGCATCAGCAGCATCAGCAGCAACATCAGCAGCATCATCCTCATCATCACCATCATCATCATCATCATCAGCATCATCATCAGCAGCAGCATCAGCATCAGCATCAGCATCATCACTATCATCAGCATCATCAGCATCATCATAATCAGCATCAGCATCACCATCATCAGCAGCATCATCAGCATCATCAGCATCATCATCAGCATCATCATCCTCAAAATCAGCATCATCATCAGCATCATCATCAGCATCATCAGCATCATCAGCAGCAGCAACATCAGCGTCAGCATCATCATCATCAGCAGCAGCGTCATCATCAGCATCATCGTCAGCATCATCGTCAGCATCATCGTCGTAATCCTCATCATCATCATCAGCATCATCATCAACAGCATCAGCATCATCATCATCATCATCATCATCATCATCATCATCATCATCATCATCATCATCATAATCGTCATCACCATCATCCTCATCAGCAGGAATGCATTGTCATCGAATCATCAGCATCGTCATCATCATGATCACCATCACCATCATCATCATCATCGTCGTCGTAGTCGTCGTCGCCCTCATCATCATCGTCATCATCATCATCCTCATCATCCTCATCATCATCAGCATCATCATCATCAGCATCATCATCACCAGCATCGTCAGAATCCTCATCATCATCAACAACATCATCATCATCGCCATCATCATCCTTCCGTGCTCATCCTCCTCCTCCTCATCATCCCTCCCCACTTCCTCCTCCTCCTCCTCATCCTCCTCCTCCCCCTCCCCCTCCTCCGCTTTCTCCTCCCTTTCCTCCTCCTCCACCTCCTCCTCCCTCCTCCTCCTCCGCCTCCTCCTCCTCCTCCTCCTTCTCATCATCCCCCTCCTCCTTCTCCTCCTTCTCCCGCGCTGGAGCCTGGGTCTGTCGACCCACCCTGCCTGCGCGGAGACGCAGAGGGAGCCCACGGACCTCGGACTCAGCGGCGCGCCCACCAAAGGGAGGGCTGCCCTCGTCGACCTCGGGGTCGCCAGCAATCGAAGGGAAGTAAAGTGACGTGCCTCACCAGCATCGTTACTCAATGCCCACCTTGACCTCTCTGCTCTGCTTTAACTTCACGCCCGTCCAGCTCCGCCACGTGCCGCCAGAATACTTACGGATAATCATCGCTACGTCGGGCTTTACTACATGTTGCTGCATCACCGGAGTAAAACGCTACAGTTCCGCCGCTCAAGTTCGCCCACCTGGGCGGCGCGCAGAAGGGGGTAGGGGGAGGGGGAAGGGCTTCGAAGGAGGCTGCTTCTTAGAAGGCGCCGGCCTTACATCTACAAAGAAGGCCCGCGCCTTCTAAGAAGCAGGGGTGCTGCTAAGAAGCCTTCCCCCCTCCCCCTACCCCCTTCTGCGCGTGGCCAGCCACCGTTGAAAGCGTGCATGTCCACCGTCCACCGGCCCGCAGGTCCCCTCGGGCCAGCGCGGACGGGCGGGGGCCCTTCGTCGTGACGATCAGAGGCCCGCCTCCGAACCCTCGATAACCAGGTGAGTCGGCAAGGGGCAAGGAGCAGCAGCTGCAGCAGGAGCGGCAGCAGGAGGGGAGCGAGCGGAGCACGAGGATGGACGAGGAGGAGGAAGAGGAGAAGGAGGAGGAGGAGGAGGTGCCAATGAAAAGGAAGAAGGAGGAGGAGGAGGAGGAAGAGGAGAAGGAGGAGGAGGAGGTGCCAATGAAGAAGAGAAAAGAGGACGAGCCCCCTGGGCAGCTGGCGCACTTGCGCGCCGTGGGCGCGAACGGCCGCACACGAGGCCACACACACACACAACAATAACAAAAAAAACGACTCACGAACAACGGACATGCAAGCCAACAAACTACAATAAATAAACAAACCACACACACACACACTTTTTGAGCCGGCGGCTGGGCAGAGGGTGAACGACAGGGGACACGCCGTGTTCAAATGAAGCGCCCTGCGCGGAGGACGAGGAGGAGCCCTGGCGCGACAGGACGAGAAGAGGCCGGGCCCGCTCAGAGTCGCCGACTGCGGCAAGGGCAGCGCCGACGGGGGGAGCCAGCGCCGGCACCGAGCTGCACTCAGCTGTGCCGAGCTGAAGCTGAGGGGGAACGCAGCTCAGCCGACTGGGCGGCTGGTGGGGGAGCAACGCGAGCGAATCAGAGATTCGACCCAGCGTACAGGGCAGTTTTGTACACATAGGATTCTTAAGATAAATCATTTTAATGCATGAGTAATAGATGAGTAAATTCATGCATGAACTCATCGTTGTTTCTAATGCTGAATCCCTGCATGTTTAATACACGATCCGCAAGCGGAGCATGTATTAAAAACGGCACTGTACCGATAGGCGCCGTCCGAGACCTGGAGGCCTAAGAGGCGCGGCAGACCAAGGGGCGGGAGAGCGCCGAGACCAGGGGGGCCTGCGAGGCGCGGCAAGAGGCGAGTGGCGGAAGGCGGGCAGGCACAAGGGTGCCCCGACTGGCGATGCCGTAGCCCAAGGAGTGACGGAGAATGGCGACCCAGAATCGGAGCCACTGCGGGGTGCGGCACGGAGCTGCGGGCGCCAGGGAAAGCGGGCGGAGCGGAAGGAAATGACCATGCCAAAACGGGAAACGACGTGGTCCAGGGAAGCCACCCCGGAGCGGGACGCGCACCAAGACCAGAGGGCCCACGAGGCACAAGCCGCAACGGCAGGGCAAGACGCCGCAGGACAGCGGCAGCGCCCAGCACACCGGTAACGGGCGGACGGATGCGAGGCCTGAAAACCAAGCGACAAAGGGGGGGCGCCGGATAGGCGCAGTGACGGTGACGGAGCACTCCCTGCGGCCAGGGGCGAATTCCGTCGCAGTGGCGCCACGGCGCATGGAAGGCCTGCCGCGGCCCCTCGGCGCCACCGGAGGGAATCAGGGAGGCCACGAGGCCAGGGAGCGGAGGGAGCTGCGAAGGAAGGCTCGGCTGGAGCCCCTGCGGCCCCCGCCGCGCTGAGAGCAATGCCCGGCCCAGGCCGCACTGGATCCGCCGCCTGCTCGCTGAAGGCTTTCATTGAGGCGGCCAGGACCCCGTCGGCATTGAGGGGCTCGCGGCAGAGGACACCTGAGACAGGGGCGGCCCTCTCCCCGCCGAGGGGGGGGCCGCGGTGATCCTCGACGCTCGAGCTGCCAGCATTCCTCGCCACATGGACGGGGGGGCGGGGCGGAGCGACCTTGGAAGAAACGAGGGGACCCGTCGCGACGCCCGCCGGCGATGCCCCGCGGCCGGGCCAGCGCAGGCTCGGCAGGGCGCCGGGCGGGGCACCACGCGCCGCACGGTCTGGGCAGCGGCACCGAGTTCCAGCCGTGGCGACGAAGGGCGCTCGTGGCGCCCAGGGCGGTGCCCCTCCCTCCGCGGCGGAGGCCGCATCCCTGCGCAGGCAAGCCTCGCGCCACCACACGCCCTAGCCGGAGTCGGACGGCCGGCGCGCGGCACAAGGTGCGTTTGTCCGCCGCGGGGGCCGCGCCGCCCCCGCGCCGAGGCGACGGTCGTCGGCCGTGCGATGGGCCTCTGCTCGGCCTCCTCGGGCCCTGGACAGAGCCCCCCTTTAGCAGATCGCCTCTCCGTGGAAGCTGCCAGGGGCACTCCACTCGGGCCGGGCGACAGGGGGGGGGATAGCAAAGGGGGGGCTTTGAGAATCAGCTCACGCAGCTGACTTTCCCCGCGCCTCCCGGCGCCGGGAGGCGCCCATGCATCGAGGATTGGGCCCCTCGGCGACACCGAAACCAGCTGCATGCAGCAGATTTCGTCCGGCCCGACAGGGGCACTCCACGTGCGCACGTCGCCGCCTTCCGACGGCACCCCAGGCGGGGTGGCCATTCGGCGTCCGACGGCAACCGAACGTGCCCGGCGAAGCGCACGCCGACTCGCGACACCGACTGCGGACTGCACAGGCACACTCGGGCGCCAATGCCGAGTGAACTGGTGCGGAGTTCCTCAGTCGACTTGTCTGTGTGGGTGCTCTGGCAATGCCCGGTGGTGAGACTTCGGGTTGCGCACAGACCGCCCCCCCCCCAGGTGGTCCCAGCTGGCCTCAACATGCCACCCGAGTAGTCATAGCTGGCCGCAACAGGCCCCCCGAGAAGTCTGGGGCGGTCTCAACACCCCAGGGGCGCCGCGGGAGGCGGCGCCAGTGTGTGAAGACCGCCCAGACTACTCGGGGGGGGGGGGGTGAGGCCGACTGGGCCTACTCGGGTGGCCTGTTGAGGCCAGCTGGGACTACCTGGGGGCGGGGCCTATCCGTGCGCAATCCGAAGCCTTCCCAATGCCCGATCTCCTCCCCAGGCTCCCGACGTCAGGATTGTTTCAGAACGTCGACCCCCAGAGGTCTGTCATCCTGAGTCGTTGTCTCACGGTCCCGAGACCTGGTAAAGGGGCACGGTAGATAGCAGAAGACCTCCCGCCGTGATTTTTGTTCATTACTGGAAGGGCATGGGGTCTGGGAATGCCCGACTCTCCTCCCCTCGGCTACACGCAGGAGTGACCCTGGGTAAGAGTGACCCTTGGTGCGCGGCGTTCTGGTGGCCGGGGGGGGACCAAACCCGGGCGCCCAAGCCGCTGCTCCTGCCTCGTCTTCGGCCATCTGGGGACCCACCTGCGCCCGCACCAAAAGGTCACTCCGGCGAAATGTCACTCTTACGTCTAAGTCGATCCCCGACCGGATCCGGGCCGCCCGAGCCCCCGGCGCTCTCGTGCTCGGCGCCGCCCCCGGCAGCCTCGGCGCGGAGCTCCTGGGCGTCCGCGGCGGCGCCGCCTGCAGCACCGCGTCCGCCGAGGCGTTGCGGAGCAGCGGCGCGGCGGCTCGCCTCTGCACGGGGGCGATCGGCCCATAGCATCTCGAGTCAGGAAAGAACACCTCCTCCTCCTCCTGCTCCTCCTCCTCCTCCTCCTCCTCCTCCTCCTCCTCCTCCTCCTCCTCCTCCTCCTCCTCCTCCTCCTCCTCCTCCTCCTCCTCCTCCTCCTCCTCCTCCTCCTGTTCGTCCTCCGATGATCCTCGCCTTCTCCTCCGCCCTAACGGGAGGTGCTTCATTATTATTGGCCTCTGGGGGGGGACCCTTACCAGGCCTCGGGGCCGTCAAAACCCACGTGGAATGGAACACGGACCCGCTGGGAGTGGGTCGAGACCTGGGAGACAGGGGGATTTCGCCCACAGACTCGAGGAGGCTTTGACACTGTTGCTGCTTCTGCTTGTCGATGAGCGACGACAAGACAACGGTCTTACGCGAGATGGCATGGAGACCATACGCGGTGGCTTACGCGGGCCGCCGGTGCGGCACGCCACAGTGGAGACGAGGTCGCTTACGCGGCGACCTTATGCGAGCAGCTTACGCGCGAATGTCGGCGCGTTTGAACCCGTTTTCATCGCTCATATGAATTGTTGGCACGCATCTGGCGCGTCCTGGCCTTCACGTTTGGAGTTGGCTGCGGTGGAGGACATCGGTAGACTTTGCGCGATGGACTTTGATCTCAAGGGACCCCGCCAGGACATTCTACGCATTTTTCGTAGATCCGACAGACAAACAAAATTTGGGGTAAGTCAACTATGTTGTCGATCTCTGACTCGAATCATGCGCGGAAGTTCTGCTCCCAAAGGCCGCCGGCCCGAGTGCCCCACTGGGAGGGGGCGGGGCCTGACCAGCCAAAGCTATCGATGAGGAGAAGGGGGGTAGAAAAGGGGGGGGATTTGATTATAAGACGAAGCCAGGACGAGGATAAATTGGGGTGAAGATAAGTTGAGAATCTCTGAGATCTGGCAATTTTCGAGGATGCCTCGGACGCCGCGGCCTTCTCAGAGCGTGCCGGAACGTTCTTGGAGCGTTCTGGAACGCTCTGGAACGGATTTACCCTCACCCTCGCCCTAGCCCCGTCCGGATGGACCCTCCCTGGCCCCGTCCGATTTTCTTGCAGCACATCCTTCGGAGAGAGGGAGACGGAGGAGGCCAGCGTACCACAGACAATTGTATGCGCTTCTCGATGTGTGCGTGCCATCCTTGCGCAGGGGCCATGCTGATCTTTTCTGTATCCTTTCAATGTTAACGGATGATCCCCGAAGGGAGTCCGAAAAGGAGGAGGAGGAGGCGGAGGCGGAGGCGGAGGCGGAGAGAGGGAGGCGGCGGAAGAGGAGGCGAAAGGGGAAGGCGCGACCAACATATTGTCGATACACTCGTCACTCTGTCTCGTCACCCGATGGAGTGACACGAACCTGCCAACCCCTAGAACAAAGCCGTAGAGGAGGCGAATGGGGTGGAGAAAGGGGGCGGAACGCATCATGGATTGGCGTGTTCTGCAACGGGGGGCGATCTTCATCTGGGCCCTCTTGGTGTGTGCAAGTGCAGAGAGCTCCATCACTGAGGTGGAGAATCGCCCCATGGCCAATGTTACATCACTGGCAATCTGCAGCGGGCCAGCACCTGGAGGGGAGGAGGGGGAAAAAAGGAAGGAAGGGGGAGGGGAGAGGGGGAAGAGGGGAGAAGGGGGATGGGGGGGAGGGGAGGGGAAGGGAGGGGAGGAGGGGAGGGAAGGAGAGAGGAGGGAAAACTCTAGGCCTCCAGGGCATTTACGCCGCTGCCTCCGGGTACATGCCGGGGCTCAGCGACCCCGTGCGGACGACAGGAGACACGAAACAAAGCAGGAGGGAACGGGGGAAAGGGGGAAACAGGGATGGAGAGTGAGACTGAAGGGGAGGGAAATAACACCCCTGGAGGGCGCCGCGACTGCCCCAAGGCGGCCCAACGGGGATGATGAGGAAACCCGGGCCAGGGCGCGTGCGTTTCAGTATCACTCCTTGCACACGCTCTGGAGCAAGGTTCCCACATCCATCTGCATACACAGCACCAATAATCAGCATGGCCCCGTAGTCGTGAAAGTGACGGAATGTCCTCTCGACGCTGACAAACTACATCGACGCGCGTTCCTCGTATGGCTTGGTTGGATTATCTTGATCGGGGCGTAAAGACGAGGACGGTTGCAACCTAAGCGACCGCCGCCACCAGACCGTAGATTGCAGGGCGCGGTCGCCAGGGGAGCAAGTGACGCTGCGCGAGCTATCCTGCGATCGAACCCATGGAGAGACAGGTGGCCTGGGAAACAAAATGACGCATGCTGCCGGCACCTCAGAATACTGAGACTATACTAACCGACAGCATCACTAATTTGATCCAGGGGGAGCGAGGAAACAACGGGAAGGAGAAGGAGGAGAGAGAAGAGGACAAGAGGAAACACGAGAGAGAGAGAGAGACACCCACACACACAAACAGAATCACTCTCCCTTTCACACACACACACACACACACACACACACACACACGCACACACACACACACTCACGCACACACGGACTTTTCGCGTCGGCGGCTAGGCAGAGCGACTGTGCTGGCGGAGCTCACACACACACACGAGCATCATGTTTGAACTCCCTTTCACGCTCTGCTACAACGAGGTGCGGTGCGTAATGTTCCGGCTCTGGGGCCCGGAAACTACGCATCGTATTATCCCCGGGCTGACAATTAACGACTCCTCAGGAAACGCGAACGCTGTACGGGGCACACAAATCGCCCACGAAAAACAACAAAAAAAAACATAAATATAGAGAGAGAAAGAGAGAAAGAGAGACAGAGACAGAGAGAGAGAGAGGGACAGAGAGCGTACGGCTTCTTACTTATGACACGGTGAGGGCATTTGCTACCTCTCCGCGTCCGAAGACCTGCATGGACAAAAGAATTCACACAAGTGGCCCTGGCGCTTTCGGCGGGTCACCACCACTCCGCCTGTCAACGCGCACTCTGCTGGCTCTGGCATACTGTACGGGTCGCCACATCCCCACCCAGGACAGAAACGATCCGGGCGCGCTTCCGAGAATTTAAGCACCTCCGCAAGTCTGCCCGGCGCTGGCTCGGACCAGCGCCGCCCCCCCACGGAATGGGCACGGGGCCCACGGAGACCGCTAACCCCCCCCGCCCACAGCGAGGCCCAAATCAGGTTTCACCCTCCCCACGGGCCACCCTACGATGCGGCGGCAAGGGGTTTCAGCTCCTGGTGACCATCCCCTCCCTGACCCACTCCTCGCCCGCGGCCGCCCCCCTGGCGGCGGCGCCACTGCCGCTTCCGCCACAGCCAGGGGCCCCCAGCGTCGCCCCCGCGCCTGCTTCCACTTCTGCGATCGGACCTCCGACCAGCGACGTCGACCGGGTCGGGCAGGGCGACGGGGCAGGTCCTGCATCGGGGCGCCTCGCGATGAAATGCTGGCCGTCGTTCTCCAGCTCCCCGTCCAGCAGGCGCCCGTCTGAATATATATATATATATATATATATATATATATATAACATTATGATCACATCTGGCAGCCTGCGCGCGGAGCCTGGCGCCAGCAGCCCTGGACTTGAAAACATCGGCCCGGCGATGTCGGGCCTGCGTTCTGATTTCGAGTTGCTTTCGAGCTCTGGTGGGGGAGGTAAACTCGCCGTCGCAGCTGACGCCGTCGAAGCCGAGGAAGTGCACCGCGATGCCCCCGACGCCGCGGTAGGGCCCGCAGCCGCCGTACACACGCGAGGACCTGCACGGTGCGGAGCGCTGCACTGTCCCTCAAGCGATACCCCTGGGCCCGAGTCGCCAAGTGGGTTGGCGCGCCGAGTCTCCAGCTCAGCACGGGTCCAGCCATGGCGCTGCGAGGGCCCGGGAGTCTCCACTATCTCAGGGACGGAGAGTGCGGCTCCCGTCGTCCAAATAATCGACTCACTCGACCACCCTGAAAATAGCCAACTGCCGCGGAAAGCGCCCACGTCGCTCCATCAGCTTGCCGAGCCCGCTCCCTCCCCGTTGAATGGCGAAGTCGCGCAACTGGTCCGATTTCCTACATCTTGGTGTTGGCACGCTTGCGGGCCTCTTCGGTCAGCCGCATGCCGTTGGGCGCGGCGATCACTGGGGTCGCCGGGGCCTGCGCTGCGGTCCCAGGTGACGCGCCACATCCCGGTGACCCTGAGGAAAGCTGGCTCTGACTCCCAAGTTTATCGCAGGCAATCCCAGCAGAGTCCATACCAGCCTTGTCGCCGTCCCCCTCCTTGTGGTTTGTGTCATTATGGTCGGGGTTCGCGGTGCGCTGGCGTTTGGCAGCAAAACGCTTGCGCCGGGTCTCCAACTCGGTTTTCATGTTGTGGATGGCTGTGGCTCCCGAACCGAAGACTTCTTTGACTTTGTTGTTGGGTTTTTCCATGAAGCGGGCCTTGAGGTTGCTCCACTGTTGCATCTCTCTGTCGTCAAGCTCGAGGTCCCTGGTATCGAAGACCTCGCCTTCGTTGAAGACCAGGTCCCCTTCTCCAGTGAGCAGCTTGCCTCCTGCCGCCGCTGACGCCTCGCCGTGATGACATCAGCCGTGGCGTGGCCCTTCGCTGCGTTGATGGCTGCGAGCGTGGCCTGGACCGCCTCTCGAGCCGCTACGGGGCCCTCGACACAGGTCCTCAGAAATGGCAGCCTTGTCCAAGGCCGCGACGGCCCTGCGCTCGGCCGCGAGCACTCGCTGGCACTTGGCATCGAGGGTCTCGGTGTGGGGCGGGCTCTGTGGCCATGACCTTCTCCTCGAGTTGAGCGAGCGCCTCCGGACTGTCATCGCTGAAGCTCTTGCCCAAGATAGCGAAAATGGCTCCAAAGTCGGTTCGCGGTTGGTCCGACGGGTCGGACCAGGGGCGGTGACGGTGGCCCCCTGGGCTCAGACCACTTGTCCCAACTCCGCCAGCCGTCCGCCGCAGGCGTCGGTGCCAATGCTCCTGTGAGGGACCTCCTCGGTGGCGTGGGTTGCAATTCGGGGGGCTTCGCGCACTGGAAGCACTTCCCGCGACCCTTCCGATTCCATGCGTATGCACATTGCGCACACCTGGTGAAGGCGTCATCCTGCTTGGGCACGCCGCTCGATAGCTCCTCGCGGAGACAGGTGCTTGCATGCGCAGGGCGGACTGCGCGGCAAAGAGAGAAACGCGCAGGGCGGACTGCACGCAAGAACTGGAGGAGACTGGCCGCGGAATAGCGGTATCCACTTGCTTCCGCAGGGAAACCATAATATTGAGCCAAAAAGGCGAATTACGGCAACGCCTCACTCCGTTGGATAAGGAACCATTGGATAAGGAATCCAGGGTCTGGAAGCCGATGGAACTCCAATTGTGGAGTGGCCATGGATGTCACCACCGCCCTCATCAAATCAGGAAGCCTCCAGGCTCTGAAGCCTCCGGGCACATTCCTTAGCCAAGGCCCCCCCTGCATGTAAGTCTGCTGCCCATGGGGGATGACTTACCAGCCCCCAGCTGGCGCCTCACCCACGCCAGGAGAGACATCCGGCTTCTATCCCCGAGGGCCGCGCGCATGCCCCTTGGAAACAGCCCGCAGACGACCAGAGCGCCCCCAGTGCGCTGCGAGTGGCCAGGGCTACGCCGACGTCCGGCCGCCAATGACCCAGACCTGCTCGCGTCGTAAACAGAAACCACGACGGGAAGTTCGTTGCCGTCCAGGCCCCTGGGGGCCCTCACCCGGCTCTGGGGCCGCCGAAGAACAACCCAGCATGAGAAACATGAGGAACAGGTCCCGGGGATTTGTCCCATCGAGCGGCAGCTTGCCAGCCCTACGCCGCACATGGCACCAGGGGACAAGTGCACACACTGAAAGATAGCCCTGGGGCTACACCCTGTGGAAAAAGCTGGCCACGGCGTCACACGCCAAACTGGCGCGATTTGGCATTGTGAGCACTCGTCGATACACTGGCACGAACACCGACAACCAGGCCATGCCGCAACACGCCAAAGCGATTTAGAGTTGTGAGAAGTCGACTATACACTGGGAGTCCAGACCTCCAGACACCTCGCATTTAAAAAACAAGACGTCATATGCGTTGGCAGGGAGCTCGCCCTCCACGCGAGGGCCTTTTTGCGCAGAAGTGGGAGTCTCCATACCCTAGTCGACGCTAACCGACGCTAAGTCGACGCTAATCGGCGCGAGTCGACGCTAAATCGGCGCACTCACCAATTACCAGACGCTAATCGACACGAGTGCACTCCAAAGACGGACTTGCGAGGGCACACGAGGCTCCCATGCGTTGCTACTGACACATACAGAGCGCGGCCGCTGTGCCCTGCAAGCGCCGGGCAGGGCGAACGAGACCGGGGCGCGTCCATCCTCCTCCTCCTCCTCCTCCTCCTCCTCCTCCTCCTCCTCCTCCTCCTCCTCCTCCTCCTCCTCCTCCTCCTCCTCCTCCTCCTCCTCCTCCTCCTCCTCCTCCTCCTCCTCCTCCTCCTGTATGCCAGTGGTCGGAGCCGCTCGGTGGGCCCCCTCCCGTGCGCAGGCCTCCTGCCTCCGAAGCCCCGCACCCCTGCTCCTCTGCTGCGCAGCGGGGCCCCCCCCCTGGACCAGCAGAGCATATAAGGCAAGCAGGCCTCGCGGGCACCGCCGACGGTGGCCTCGTGCTGGCCTCCGCCGCCACCGCCGCCTCGCGAGCACGGGGGGCCGGGGGAGCAAGCAGGGGCGAGACTTCGTTCGCTGTGCCTGTCCAGCTTCTTTCGCCTGTTCCCACGTTCTGTTCAGCACGTCTGCTGTGAATTGCTCTGCTGTTGTCCCACATGCGTCCTCTTGGGATATGCTCGCGCCCGTCCCTATAAGGGCTCGTGTTGCTGAGGAGCGAAACAGCTCCGTCGCTGAAGTGTGCCGAGCCGTCTAAAAAAAAGAAGGACGACGGAAGGAGGTTGACGGGGGAAGAGGACGATGGGAGGAGGAAGGGTGGAAAGAAGGGAGGAGGGGGTGGGGGAGGAGGGGCGGGTTCGAAGGCGTGTACAGCATTCGACGGGAACGAACAGTTTCTGGGAAGTTGCCGCACAGCCCCCCAAAAACTTGCACGCCGTCGTGGACGCCTGCCCCCTGGGCGGCTGAACAGTGATACCCCTACGGTGTCACGCAGGGTTATAAACTTTGCAGCCGCCCGGGGGGCAGGAGTCCCCGACGGCAGGAAAGTTTATTTCATACCGTGCCGATAGGACCACCCTACGGGTGATAAGGAAGTTGGTAGGGGGGGAAAGGGGGAGGCGGTCGATGCGCGAGGACTCCCACCTGCCGCAACCAAAAAGCGCGCGGACAAATACCTACCACCTACTTCCGCTTGCTTCTATCTAACTAATATATATATATATATATATATATATAATGTCTTCCCATGTTTGTTGCGACCGTGCTGGTACCGTGCTGGTGTTTCCATGTTCTGGTAGCAATAATGGTACCGATAGCGATCGCGCTGGTGAGGCGGCAGCGACGCTGACAATGACGCCAGATTCTGCCAGCGACAGGTAATGATGATGATGCTGGCGGTGTTGCTGATGGCGAGGCGGTGGCAGTAGCGGTGGCGGTGGCGGGCAGGATCTTCTATCTCTCTATCATTCGATCTATCGACATGCCTATCGATCTATCGATCTAACTCTCCATATATCTCTCTATATACCGATGTGCCTGTCTACCTGTCTACCGATCAATCTACATATAGATATATCTCGGTGTATAAATATATATATATATATATATATATATGGACATCTGTCTATATACATAGACATCGGCCTCTTTATCGGGCCAACCATCGGGACAACCATCGGGACAACCATCTGGAAAACCATCGGGACAACCGTTGGGACAGCAATCGGGGCAACCATCGGAACAGCCATCGGGACAACCATCGGGACAACCGTCGGGACAACCATCGGGACAACCACTTGGGACACCCATCGGGACAACCATCGGGACAACCATCGGGACACCCATCGGGACAACCGTCGGGACAACCATGGGGACAACCATCGGGATAACCACCGGGACAACCATCGGGACAACCATCGGGACAACCATCCGGACAACCATCGGGACAACCATCAGAGCAACCATCGGGACAACCATCGGGACAACCATCGGGGCAACCTTCGGGACAACCATCGGGACAACCATCGGGACAACCATCGGGACAACCATCGGGACAACCATCGGGACACCCATCGGGACAACCGTCGGGACAACCATCGAAACAACCACTATCCATCGGGACAACCATCGGGACAACCATCGGGGCAGCCATCGGGACAACCATGGGGACAACCATCGGGGACAAACATCGGGACAACCACTGGGGCAACCATCGGGACAACCATCGAGACAACCATCGGAACAACCATCGGGACACCCATCGGGACAACCATCGGGACACCCATCGGGACACCCATCGGAACAACCATCGGGACAACCGTCGGGGCAACCATCCGGACAACTATCGGGACAACCATCAGACAACCATCGGGACAACCATCGGGACAACCTTCGGGACAACCATCGGGACAACCATCGGCCCATCGAGACAACCATCGGGACAACCATCGGGACAACCATCGGGACAACCATCGGGACAACCAACGGGACAACCATCGGGACAACCATCGGGGCAGCCATCGGGACACCCATCGGGACAACCGTCGGGACACCCATCGGGACAACCATCGGGACAACCATCTGGACAACCATCGGGACAACCATCCCGACAACCATCGGGACAACCATCGAGACAACCATCGGGGACAAACATCGGGACAACCATCGGGACAACCATAGGGACAACCATCGGGACATCCATCGGGACAACCATCCGGACAACCATCGGGACAACCATAAGCGCACCCAACGGGACAACCATCGGGACAACCATCGGGACAACCAACGGGACAACCATCGGGACAACCATCGGGACAACCAGCGGGACAACCATCGGGACAACCTTCGGGACAACCATCGGGACAACCATAAGCGCACCCATCGGGACAACCATCGGGACAACCATCGGAACAGCCATCGGAACAACCATCAGGACAACAATCGGGACACCCATCGGGACAACCATCGGGACAACCATCGGGACAACCATCGGGACAACCTTCGGGACAACCATCGGGACAACCATCGGGACAACCCATCAGGACAACCATCGGGACAACCATCGGGACAACCATCGGGACGGACAACCATCGGGACAACCATCGGACAACCATCGGGAAAACCATCGGGACAACCATCGGGACAACCATCGGGACAACCATCGGGACAACCATCGGGAACAATCGGGACAACCATCGGGACAATCGGGACAACCATCGGGACAACCATCGGGACAACCATCGGGACAACCATCGGGACAACCATCGGGACAACCATCGGGACAACCATCGGGACAACCATCGGGACAACCATCGGGACAACCATCGGGACAACCATCGGGACAACCATCGGGACAACCATCGGGACAACCATCGGGACAACCATCGGGACAACCATCGGGACAGCCATCGGGACACCATCGGGACAACCAGGGACAACCATCGGGACAACCATCGGGACAACCATCGGGACAACCAGGGGACAACCATCGGGACAACCATCGGGACAACCATCGGGACAACCAGCGGGACAACCATCGGGACAACCATCGGGACAACCATCGGGACAACCATCGGGACAACCATCGGCGCATCCATCGGGACAACCATCGGGACAACCATCGGGACAACCATCGGGACAACCATCGGAACAGCCATCGGGACAACAATCGGGACAACCATCGGGACAACAATCGGAACAACCATCGGGACAACCATCGGGGCAACCTTCGGGACAACCATCGGGACAACCATAAGCGCACCCATCGGGACAACCATCGGGACAACCATCGGAACAGCCATCGGAACAACCATCAGGACAACCATCGGGACACCCATCGGGACAACCATCGGGACAACCATCGGGACAACCTTCGGGACAACCTTCGGGACAACCATCGGGACAACCATCGGGACAACCCGCGGGACAACCATTGGGGGCCGCGCCCGGCCAGGGGGGGCGGGGAGGGCGGGCGACCTTTTTGGGCTCCATGTGGTCTTTACAACCTGCAGGAACTCGCGCAGCTTCGCCTCGCCCTCACGCGCGACACGAGCCGAAACCGACACCGATTTCCCGGTTGGGGTCACTTCCGCTCACACCCCCCAACCTCCGACGAAGGAGTCCCCCGCCCACCTCGTTATGCGAAGCCTGGTCGCGCACGCATGCCCAAATCCTTCCAAAACCTTCATCGCCGACACGTGGACGCCATGATCGTCATCGGCATGATCAGCATCGGCGCCGATATTCACCCTGCCGTCGTCATCGTGATCATCGCCACAAGCGTCACTACGATCATCATCGCGTCTACCCCTGTCGACGTCGCCATGATACCGCGCCCGCCCGCGCAACCGACTCGCACTGAAATGCCCACGCGTCACTGCGGCCCGCGAGACGCGCCGTGAAGTCCCCAACTGTCAGCACCACCGCCGCTGCGTTGGTCGCGCCCGACTGGATGGCCGCTCTGCGCGCGAGCCTGCGCGCTAGCGCGGCCGCGGCGGTGCGCATGGTGTTGCAAACCAAGTTGCGGGTGGGAGTGTGGGATGATTGCGCGAGCAATGGAGTTGACAACGTCAAGCTCTTCAAATTTCGTTGCACCACATTGATTCTCCTTTCTAAACAGAGAATAGACTCTACCCCCCCCCCCCCCGGCGTTATGCCCCCTTTCGGGCATGTAAATCATATATGATTATGACCCCATGTCCATCCTAAATATGAAGTTACGCTATGCTTGAGGGGCCGGGATCGACCCACCTGAGGTTCCCTTGTAAAAGACGATACGCAGGGACATCTTTTGTTCTGACATAACACTTGTTCACGAAACCCTTGGAAAAATGCCGACAGGCACACGCGCGCGTCGTCGCGCGCGCATGCCGAAATCCTTCAAAAACCTTCGGTGACGGAAGGATGTCGCAATCGAGTTCCCAAGAAAGATACAAAAAAACACAGGGTTTCGCAACACCGATTTGCTAAAAAAGCTGACGCGCGAGCTCTTACGAAATCTTCAGAAAACCATCGGTTTTTCAAGATTTTCACAAAATGCTACCAAACGGGTTTCGCGCGCACATGTCGAAATCTGTCGAACGCCCTTGCGCGTGTGCCGTCGCGAGAATCCTCTGCAAAAAATGGGACGGAGTGCAGACGCGCGCGTCGTCGCGCGCGTATGCCGAAATCATTCAAAACCCATCGGTTTCGGCAGAATTTCAAAATCGTGTCCAAAAAACCTACAACAACACAAGGTTTCGCAACACGGATTTTTAACAAAAGCGTGCGCGCGCGCTCTTGCGTCGTCGTCGTCGTCGCCGGCCTCCCTCCTCCCTCGTCGTCGTCGTCGTCGACGTTGTCGTCCTCTGGCTTTCCTCGACGTCGTCCTCCTCCTCTTTGGCGTCGTGGTCGTTTCCTTCGTCGTTGTCGCCGTGGTCGTCCTTCCTCCTCCTCCTCCCTCGTCGTCGTTGTCGTCGTCCGTCGTCGGCGGCTCGTCGTCGTCCCTCCTATTTCGTCGCCGTCGTCGTCGTCGTCGTCGTCTTCCCTCCT